AAAGAAAACAAAAAACAAGCGGGGAGGGTGCTGGGAAGGTGGCACTGTAAGCAGATCCAGGGTCCCAACCTTCCCTACACGGACACCAAGAAAAGCAACTGGGAATCTGCGCCACCCTGTAAGAACTCTGGAAGTGTGCAGGACCACAGCAAGGATCTGCAAATTGCAGGAAGATGAAAGGGCATTTCCAGTGGGGTAGAAAAGTCTCTTCCTCCACGGGGGTGGGGTGGTGGTGGTAGGGGGGCTAAGTCCTGGGACCGTGGGCCTCAGCGTTGAGGAACGGGCAGTGGACTAGGATGGGAGGCTGTGCCTGTAGGAGGGCTCCTCAATTAGGTGTGTCTTCTGGGTTGGGAATTGCTGAGGGACTGACTCCGTGCTTGGCCTGAAGCAGAGCTCTCACAGGCTGAGGGAGGGAGCAGTAGGCAGAGTTGGAAGACTCTGCCTGCCTGGGTGTTTTGTGCAGAAAGGACTGGTGTGTGTGTGTGTGTGTACACGTGTGGGCGAGAAGGCTAGCACTTTGTCCCAGATTGAACCCCCAAATCACAAAGGACCTTGAAGGGACGGAGGCGATCCGTTTGGAAGCCCGAATAGCGAAGGTAGAGCACATGGTGCAGCAGTATTGAGCACAAGCAAAGCACCGAAGGGAATCCAAGAAATCCTGCATGAGGACAGTCAGACACCGCGAGACGTGGATGATGTTGGAACGTGGAACTAAGTGGTACACTAACAAGCAAACTCTCAGTGGTGAGACTCAGCAGGTCGGGAAGTCAGAGGCTAAGGGTAGTTTCCATCAAGACCACAGCCTGGGACACCCTGTGGGGCAGTTGTACTCGGTCCAGTAGGGTTCCTGAGAGCCAGAAGTGACCCAATCGATGGCTGTGTGCAGCTTGAACATGCACGTGTACATCTATGAACACGGCTACCCATCCTTTTATCTGTACAAGGAGCTTTCAAAAGTCTGGAAAAATAGAATGAAAAGAATGGAATTTTTTCTTTCTCTTTTTTAAACATTTTATTAGGGGCTCATACAACTGTTATCGCAATCCATACACACATCAATTGTGTAAAGCGCATTTGTACATCGTTTCTCAAAACATTTTCTCTCCACTTAAACCCCCGACATTAGGTCCTCATTTTTCCCCTGCCTCCCCGCTCCCCCCTCCCGCATGAGCCCTTGATAGTTTATAAATGGGTATTTTGTCATATCTTGCCCTGTCCGACGTCTCCCTTCACCCACTTTTCGGTTGCCCGTCCCCCAGGGAGGAGGTCACATATAGTTCCTTGTAATCGGTTCCCTCTTTCCTACCCACTCTCCCTCTACCCTCCCTGTTTCGCCACTCACACCACTGGTCCTGTAGGGCTCATCTGCCCTGGATTCCCTGTATTTTCAGTTCCTATCTGTACCAGTGTACATCCTCTGGTCTAGCCAGACTTGCAAGGTCGAATTCGAGTCATGGTAGTGGGAGCGGGGAGGAAACATTTAGGAACTAGAGCAAAGTTGTGTTTCTCATCGTTGTTACATCGAGAATGGAATTTTTTCATGAACATTTTTAAGCCCCCTCATTTATATGTGTGTGTATCATATAAAATTTAAATTTTAATAGATATTGGCATATGCATATATATCTGTCTAGCAAACATCATAAGCTCATTTTCATATCTCTTAATCATGAGCCAACATCAGTCGAGTCTTCCTCTTTCTATATTTGTAATGTATTTCATTGACTGCAAGAAGTCTGGCACTTGGGAACCACAAAAGAGTTACTTAATCTTATGTACATGTCCAGTAGCTCCAGAATGCCTGACTCAGACCTCTGTGGCCACCTAGTGTCACATTTAAGTTGGAACACCGCTGAGAGAAGAGCCTGTCAGTTATGGATGACAGCTGGAAACACAGCCTGCTCTCAGCAAACGGGGGGCATGGCTCCTCACCTGTGCACGGATCGCCCTCCTTGGCCATCACAGTGGCCTGTTTTTGCCTGTCTTGGTAACTGTTCTTCTGAGTGGTCTAGGCTCCCTCTTGAGAACAGAACGCGTGGAAGGCGGTTAGCAGGGTGGACATTTCGTGATTCTACAGGCTGCGGAGAAAACCTGGTCGGCAGTCGGGACGGGCTCCTCGTGAACAGCACTGAGCCTCCCTGTCCGTTGGTGCCAGATGGACAGAGCACTGCTACGCCTGTCTCTGTGTCTGCTGCAGCGGAGAGTCGGCACTTCCCAGAGGTGTGCCCTACGCTGAGCACATTGGATTAGTTTCTGTCCGTGACCAGTGTGCTAGCAATGAGATACTTGAGCTGCTTGCCTCATGGCCGATGCCCTTTTGCCCTGCAGGTGGACACGCGGCTGCAGAACGGCTTTGCTCCGGGGATGAAACTCGAGGTGGCCTTGAAGACGGAGCCTGAGACCTACTGGGTGGCCACGGTCATCACCACCTGTGAGCGGCTGCTGCTCCTTCGCTACGATGGCTACGGGGAGGACCGGAAGGCAGACTTCTGGTGTGACATCAGGAAGACGGGCCTCTATCCCATCGGGTGGTGTGAGCAGAACCAGAAGACCCTTGAAGCCCCAGAAGGTCACGCACTGCTTTCTATCTAGACAGGATGGAGTGCTTACACATTGGTCTGCAGGCTGCATGGTTGGAAGGGAAAGACTGGGCTTTCTACTCCGGTAAACAGTTACACTCTCAGAAGCCCACAGGGTGCGCTGTGAGTCTCACCGACTCCATGGTGAGGGGACCCACAGGGGGCGCCGTGAGTCTCACCGACTCCATGGTGAGGGGACCCACAGGGGGCGCCGGGAGTCAGTACTGAGTGCTGATGGCAGTCAGAGGGTGGTGATGTTGCTTTAGGAAAAATCTGGCCATTCACAATCTAGAAATTATTCATTTGTCAATTCAAGTATATCTAGGCTCATGTAGTTTTTTTATGTTAGCACTTTGCACGGGAACCTGTGTTTACCAGCGAGGCGCGTTTCCCTCTCTGTTACCACTGTTTTCTGAGCCCCGTGAAGCCTCTCCGGGAGTGTCTGATTTGCATGGTCCCGTGAGATGCGGGGCTCTCTGCATGGGAGACTGTAGGGCTGGTTGTCTTCTACTCTGCTTCTGTCTGTCTCTTTTCCACTCTCTCTCCTCACTCCCAAGCAGTCTGGGCCCGTGAGCTCTCACTGTGAACCAGCAGAAGCTCCTGCCTGGAAGGAGCCCACGGGGGTACCCCCCCGCCGAGTGAGGCAGGACAGACAGGAAAGGGCAAGAGAATGTGCAGGACCAGCGGAAAGGGGCAGAGCCAGCTCCAAGCTCACTGCCATCGAGGGGACCCGCCGGACAGGGTGGAACTGCCCTCAGAGCTCCGCAGGCGTTGAGAGCCTCACTTTCTCCTCCTGGAGCGGCTGCTCTTTGGGTTTGCAGCCCAGCAGCCTCCACCATGCCGCGGGGTTCTTCCTGAGAGGAAGGAGACTAGGGAACATCATAGGGTCCTTGGACGTCTCAAGAGTAGTACAGGAAATTCCTAGATGTGTTTCCACACGTTTGAACGTTTCCACATTGGATCCCTGCAGCGCGTGGTCTGGTCCCTAAGCCTTTGGGTAGTTATTTGTGTCCATACTGCCCTTTACATTCATAAATACTGTCTTCCTAAAAGCAAGGGGATTCATAGTGCAATGTAAAAACCAGGAAATTACCATTGACTTAATCTGCAGACTTGATTCCAACTTTACCAGTTATCTTGATAGATTTTTACACTCAAGGAAAATCTGGGATCATGGATTGCATGACCAGTTGTCCAGATTTTCTTTAGAATAATCTTTCAGACTTTCTTGGCCTTTCGTGACCTAGATATTTTAGAAAGATACCTTCAGTCTTATTTCTTTTCCCGACCCACAATCCAGTCCTGAAATCACAGACCTTGCTTGATTGTCTCCTAAGTCTTCCTAGAGCCTTTCATCTTTCTTGAACTTGCCGGTTTTGAAGAGCACACATAGGCCGATTATCTTGTGGCCCGCCCCGTGATTGGGTTTCACTGATGTTGTCGAGAGGAGTCTGCATGGCCACATTTAGCCAAACAATTGGCTGTTCCAGCTGGCTTAGAAGCTCCCTGGAAGACTGAGCTGGGGATCTGCAGTCTTGGAAGCCTGTGGAGAAGGACCTCCTGCACACAGCGCGCCCTTGCTGTGCTTCCAGAGGAGGAGAGGTGGACGCTGTGTCAGATTACAAAACAGGCTACAGTAACTGGGTAACAATGTTACTCTTTTAAACATTGTTAAACGTTGTTTAACTCTTTAAACGTTGTTTAACTCTTTTTAAACATTGTTAAACGTTGGAATAAAAGTTAGAAAGCTTTTTAAATGACATGAATAGAGGAAAGAAGTTTGGAAAAGAGAAAGGTAGCAACTTAGGTTATGAACCAGGAGTTTGCAAACTCATGGACTGAAAAGCTACCGTGGACATGGGCGGGAAGCAGCAGCACCACACAGCCTCTGTGGAGAAACGGGGACAAGTCCACTGTGGTCTCTGCCATTCCCAAGGGAAGGCTGAGGGGAAAACCAAGGGCACGTGGGAGCAGTAACATTCCCAGGACTGCCGGCCCAGTGTCTGCAGGAGCTCAGTGCTGCGGCTACCACGCTGACCACCGGAGAGGGGCCCCGATAGAAGGCGCCGGACAGTGGTCAGAGAGAACGTGGAGCAGAACCCAGAGCTGTGCAGGCAGGACCAACGGCACCCTCAAGAAGTAAGAGCCAGAACTCGAGGAGACACACACACGTTCATCACAGCTCTGTTCACAGCAGAAACTGGGAGAAACACCCTCAACGGGGTAAGAAGAACAGAAAAGGAATCTCACTAACGTAAAATTTATATTACCACAATGGAATGGTACACATCGCTGAGGAATCATGAAATTGAAACCCGTGACAAGTGATTTGGGAGGTCATTACACTCTTGTGAAGTTAGTCACAAAGTGACATATTGTATGAAACCATTATTTTGAAAGAAAGAAATCAAGATAAAGCTTTCTCATGCCCAAACAACAGACAAACTCAGACTCTGATGGTTACCAGCTGTGCGAGAGGCAAGGGGGAAGGGAGGAGGGGGGACAGGTGTCAATGTGGTAGAGGGAAGCTGGGGCGGGGGGCAGGGGGCAGCAGCGCAAGCTTGGGGAGGTGCGTGAGTTGTTTAAATCCTTGGATACAGAAATGACTATCCAAAATGTAACCCACCTAACTCATAATAAAAAGTAAACAGCAAAGTCTTTTTAACAAAAAAGAGGTGGAATGAGAAAGCAAGTTTGAGAACAGTCGATACATGTGGGTAAGAGGACCTGTTCTTTATGGAACAGGAGTCTCTGAAGAACTCCAAAGCTAGGACGCAGGCGCAGGGCCTGCAGCTCTGTGTTGAGAAAACATCCCTGACTCAAACTAGGGCCCGTAATTCACAGGGAGGGTTTCCCTGAGAAAATAGAATGAGAACTGGCACGCTGATTTAGTCTAATAAAGTTACTGAACGGAAAAGCAGGAAAAGCACAAAGACCGAGTTTTTTGTACAGAAAGGACAAGATTTCCCGCAGACCATTGACAGCAGGGGCGCCTGATGCCAAAAGACAGCGGGAAACAGCTGTGAAACTCACCAGGCGCACACAGAGGGGGGGATATTTATGAAAGGATGGCGGCAACCTCTGTACCAATGTGCTGGACACAAGTGATGTCTAGATTGTGTTAAGAGCCCCAATAAAAAGATTTATTAAAATGTAAGAGAAAGAAAGAAACTCAATGAAAATATCTGAGCCAGAGATTTTCTATCCAGCCAAATGGGACCTGGGACGTAGAGATCACGTGCAAATCATTACGTAACAGGAGAAAGCCCACAGAAGTTGTTCTTATGACCTTCCTGAGGGATTCCCCAGAGGACAGACTCCAGAAGGTCAAAGTGAGTTGAAGAGGCATCGGCTTAGGAAGTGGTGGTGAAGCTTTCGATACCTGCATAGATTTACCTGCAGCCCAAACCCACTGCAGTGGTGGTTCTGACCCGTGACCCAGGACCGAGGGAGGAGAGCTGCTCCCTGTTCTCTGAGACTGCCCATCTTTACAGACAGCCTCAGTGCGCTCTCATGCAGATGTGCGGCGCAGACGAAATGACAGCTCTAAGGGAGACAGCTCAGCGGAGTCCCTGGGCAGTGCACACCGTGAGCATGCTTGGCTGTTGACTAGAAGGGTGGAGGCTCAGGCCCGCCCAAGGCACCTTGACCAAGGCCCGCTGCTGACTCAAGGAGTGTCAGCGGGGGACTCTGCTCCACGTTGGGGGATGGTGCACCCCGAGTCAGACCTGATTCCAAGGTCTCTGGTTTGGGAGCAGGATGTGTCGGCCAAAGAACCCTGGTGGCATTGTGGGTTAAGTCTTAGGCTGCTAACCGCAAGGTCAGCGGTTCAAACCCACCAGCCTCTCCGCAGGGGGAGGACGAGGCAGTCCGCTCTTGTGAAGGTTCACCTCCTCAGAAGTCCTCTATCCTCATAGGGTGGCTGTGCATCAGAGTCGAATTAAAAATAGCCAGCTCTGAAGATGTAGATCCCGTGTGATTGGAAAACAGGCAACGGCAGTGCTAGAGAGCCTGTGGCTCCTATTATAAGCTCACTTATTGCTCCCTCCCTTTTTAAAGCAGCTTTATTTTGGTGCAGTTTAACTAAATGCCTTTAAAATTTTACTGGGAATAAAATAGGATATTCTCTAAAATGAGATGCTGAAGGAGAGAAGGAAACGAGGAATACATTATAGCTACTTTCAGCTTGTTTATGAAAAGTAGAAATTTTAAAATAGCCCGAAATAGAGGGGACTAGCTAAAAATGTTACATAAACCTATTGATGTAAAGTTAACCAGTCGAACAAAAACCATGAGCCTTTCTAAATGGCAAAAGATGAGCTGTGACAGAAGAGTGAGGTCGTACAGAGCATACCAGTAAGTGTCAATAGATGTACTCTCCTTCATGAGTCGGGTGGACTAGAGAGACAAATTCATAGACATTCATGTGTATAAGAAAGAGCTTTATATGGAGTCATTGTATATTAAGAAAACACCCCAGTCCAGTCCAGATCAAGTCCATATGTTCAATATTAGCCCATATGTCCGATACCAGTCTGTAAAGTCCTCTTCAGACTCACGCAGCACATGCAATGATGCCAAATGCAGGAAGATCACAGGCCAGTGGGTGGAAAGTCTTGTGGATCCAGTGGCAGTGGAAGCATCTCAGCGCTGGTGTGGGTCTCCACGTGGCCTCTCCAGCTCTGGCTCCATCAGTGTAGCTCCATGTGGCTTGTCAGCAGGAATGTTTCACAGGGAGTGAGTATCTGGCCTCCAGGTGAGCCATTTATCTCCTTCGAGCCTCCCAATGAGGTCATCAAGCTGCAACCTGGTTGGCAGGCTAAACTCCACCTTAGGAGCCTCAAGTTGACACCTGATTATGCAACTACCACATCTCCTGTTAAAGGTAACAGAACCCTAAAAAAACAAACACACACAAATAGCAGTTGGTTCACAAAGCAAAAAAATACTGCTGCACTACGCACAGGTGCTGCACTAAAGAGATCCTGAGAGGGCAACAATAAAAAGGCGGAGAAAGCTGTATAAGCAGATGAAGGTAGACAAGCAGCCTCTGTCTCTATATGGGACGCAGGAGAGATTCAGGTCAGAGAGCATTTGCAGCGATGAGAAGGGGCGCTTAATAAGAATGGTGAGTAATAAGAGTGGTAAAAGTAACCAGGGGCCATCCAGACACAGCCAGGGGGCTCTACGCTCAGGATGCCTGCTGGATGTATAAAAATATCACCACAAAAAGAAAGCAGCACAGAACCGAGGAGGTGGAGAGCCTGTGAATGTGGCAGAGCTTGCATGTGTGTGCACTTACTTTACATGAAAGAAAGCGACTTTCAAAGCTGCCTGTGGGGAGAGAAGGATGTAGAGAGGAGAGGGCACAGATGGAGGCTAACTTTCTTTGAACGCACCTTATCTTGTCCGTTTGAGTTTTGAACCGTGTAAATGTTTTGCATAAGTGCAAATCCAAACTAGAAACATTGGAAGCAAACCAGCCTCCAGTGTGGATCGAGGCTGTGGGATGACCGAGCAGGGCAGGGCGGTATCACCACCACCGGCTGAACAACGAAGTCATTTGAACGATGGTGCTGTTGGGGGTGAGTGAACCCTGAGGGCAGAAAGTATCGCTGCCGCCTCCCCCCCACCCCAAACAAAAACAAAACTTAAGCCATTTCCAGGCCTCCTGTTGCTGGTGGCAGTTGATATTGTAACTCTGGGATGTTGTTTGTGTGCTGTAGGGTCAAACAAGTGAATCATTCAATGGATGTGACTGAGCACTAGTATTTTCAGCCTGGGAGAAAGGAAATAGGAGTTCCATAGATGAGGTGATGTAAAAAGCACTACTACCTTCCTGAATTTATAATACAAGGATCAACGTGAACTCCTGATGCAATTTATCTTTTGCAAAAAAAGAAGATAACTTACTAATTCTGGATCCCGAAAAGGCATAGGAACACTGACTGACCCGAGATCAGTGAGCACCCCCAGCGCCCTGACTGTGATCTGTAAATACCTTTTTAAAAGAACAACCACACACAAAATAACACTGACAAGAATTTGGGCTCCTTGAGGAAGCAGTGAAGATTCTAGTTCTAGGGGTGTGGGCAGAAATGGATAAAATAAGCCTGCAACATTGTGCCGTGCCCCAAATAAGAAGATGCCGGCGACTCCGTACTAGAATTGTGCTAGTGGACTCCAGAGCCACGGTGAAGGGACCCTGCTTCGAGGTTTGGGCAGTCTGAGCATCAGCAGAGACCATGGCTGCAATGGCTTGAAAAACATTGTGTTTTCATATTCGACTTGAGAAACTTGTAAACACAACACTCATTGGTCACCTTTACAAGGTGACTTCTCCAGATGGAATATGTACATGGAAATCAGATTGTCCACGCTGTGGGAGGAGGTGACGGAGACGCTCACTGTCCGCAGCTGAACCAGGCCAGTGGCTGACTGTGGAACAGACCGCGACTGCCCGGGTGTTAGTTCCGAGTGAAGCTGCAGAAAATTAAAACCAGTCCACAAGATCCAAAACATGACCTGGAGTCTGTCCCGCCTGAGTGTCTGGAACATCTCAAGATCAGGGCTGCTGCTCTGAGCACTCATGACAGAAACCACACGGAAGAAATGATGAAGGTAAAAGAGCTGCATAGGAAACTTCAAAGGGCAGCTCGAGAAGCAACGTCAAATATCATAATGAAATGTGCAAAAATCCCAGAGTTAGAAAACCAAAAATGAAGAGCACACTTAGCCTATCTTAAACTGAGAGAACTCAAGAAAAAAAAATCAAGCCTTGAATTGAAATATTGAAGGAGTCTGTGGACAAAATACCGAATGATGCTGGAAGCATCAAAAGAAGATTAAAAGATTATAGTCACTGTACCCAAAAGAACAGGTCCATAGTCATCCATTTCAAGAGATAGCATATGAGCAAGAACCAGTGGTGCTGAAGGAAGAAATTCAGGCTGCACTGAAAACATTAAACAAAACAAGACTGTCGGGAATTGATGGAATACCAATTGAAATGCTTCGGTGTGCTGATGGAGTGCTGGGAGCACTTGCTTGTCTCTGCTGGGGAATTTGAAAGATAGCTACTTGTCCAGCTGACTGATGAAAGAGATCCATATTTTTTCCCGTTCCAAAGAAAGGTGACCCCACAGATTGCTCAGATTCCAGGACAAGTTCATTAATAGTGCATGCAAGTAAAATTTTGCTGAAGATCATCCAACAATGGCTGTGGTGGAACATTGAAAGGGAGCTGCCAGAAGTTCAGGCTGGATTCCGAAGAGGACGTGGAACAGCGATGTCACTGTTGATGTCCGATGGATCTTAGCTGAAAGCAGGGAACACCAGGACGATGCTTACTTGTGCTTTATTGACTCTGCAAAGGCCTGAGCCCTGTGGCTCACGTAGAAGATGGGCGACCTTGAGGAGAACAGGCCAGAGCACCCTTGTGTTGCTGTAAAGCCTCTGTTGGATCAAGAGGCAGTTGTGGAGACAGAACAGAGGAATACTGCGTGGTTTCAAGTCAGGCCAGGGTTGTGCCCTCTCACCATACTTCTTAAGTCTCCATGCTGAGCAGATCGTCAGAGGAGCTGGCTTACGCTTATGAAGAATTTGGCACTGGGATTGGAGGAGAGCTCATTGACTACCTGGCCAGATGCATGCGACACACCTTGCTTGCTAAGGGTGAGGACTTGAAGCACTTGCTGATGAAGATCAAGGATTGCTGCCTTCGGTGTCGATTCTAATTCAATGTGAGGAAGACCAGAGCCCTTACGACTGGACCAATGGGTAACCTGAGAGATGGAGACACGATTGAAGTGTAAAGGGCTTCGCCTTGTTCGATTCACAACCAGTGCTCACGGACGCGGCAGTCAAAAGAGGTCAGAATAAAATTTTAAAAAAAAAAAAAAAGAGGTCAGAAGACATTGCGTTGGGCAAAAGTCTGCACAAGACCTCTTTGATGTCTGGCCAGGCAGACAACTTCTGTTGAGGACTGAGGTACACCTGACTCGGCCATCGTGTTTTATTCATCTTAGATGCACATGAAAGTTGGACATTGAATAAGGAAGACCGAAAAAGAAGCAGTGTCTATGAATGCCACGGTCCGTGGGCATTCATCTTACTGTTTTCCTCTACTTCTGTGTCTATTTGGAAATTTCCATAACGGAAAGTAAGACGAGCACTTTGGGGATACATTTAGAGTCATAGAAAATTGGGCCTGTTCTCCATATTTTAAAATCACAGTGATTCCACAGGATAGAGTAGAGCTGGCCCCTGGGGGTTGCCGAGACGGCAGATCTCTACAGGAGTAGAGAGCTTCGTCTTTCTCCCTAGGAGTGGCTGCAGTTTTCAAACAGTGACCTTGCAGTTGTGTGGGTTTTTTTGTTGTTGTTTGGGTCTCTTATTAAATTGATGGGGAAATAACTTACTTTGTTAGAGATGTGTGTTAGGGTACTCTAGAGAGATTAAAACCAAATTGCTGATAATTTAATATATTTATTTATAAAGATAATTAGCTCTATAACAAGAAATGAACTGTTAAATCATATACAGATAAATATATAATACAAGAAATAAACAGTTAAATTATAAAGCACTACAAATGGCTCAGTGCAACTCACGTTCGTGAGAGAAAGTTGAGAGACTAGCAGTCCTTCAAATCTAGTCTGCTGCCAGATCTTCCTCTATTTGTAGAGAGAGCTAGGCTATGTCAGCACAGCAGCCAATCACAAGGCAGGTCACCAACCGCCAGTCCCCAGCTTCAGCGATGTCTTAAAGGGACCTCAACTTACAGTGACACAGTCCACAGGCTAGGCAGTCCACAGGCAGTGTAGCCTTTAAATTGAGGCACAGAACAAGCAAGGCAGCCGCACACTGGTCCGATGATCACAGAGCGAGAGACAGGAAAGGCGAGGCTCACCAAGCCATCCATCTCTCCGCCCCTCAGTCAATCCCACCTGCGTTTATCAGCCAGGCTGGCACAATCAACTATCTCAAGACGTCTGGTCATTTCTCTCTTTTTCCTTTCCTTTCTCTTTTGAGCTCCCCAAGGAGAAGCAAGATATCGATTCTTAGATCGTAACACACAGAGTGCCCCTCTGAGCTATTTCCACTATGAAGAAGCCGTCTCGTTATGAGTTTGTGTTCACTGGTGGGCAGTCTGATTGTCCGTGTGTCCCCTCTCTAGGTCTCCGAGACAAAGTGTCTGACTGGGGTGAGTTTCTGCGCCAGAGCCTCGCGGGAGCCTGCAGCCCGCCTGCGCCCCTGCTGGAGGGCGTGAGTATGACTTCATGCACAACCACGGGGCCACCGAGCTGATGATCCGAGAGGCGTTTCTTGTCCCAGGGATGGAAAACTGATGGTCTCCTTACCACTCCTGGGGAAGATCAGCGTTATTACTAGAGATAGAGGGTTCTGCTGTGCTAGGCACTCTGACCTGTGGGACACAGAGTGCCCACCTGCATTTTCTGAGATTTAGTGGGAGCTGTATATCCCACTTCAGGTGTGTGCTGCACTCTGGTGGGGGCCTATATAACTGCGTAAACCTGAAGGTGTGGACTGCCACCAACCCCAGCCATGGAGCCTGCACAAGACAACACATATACGTGTTCCTTTAATGGTGCGAAAATCCATATTACCTCCAATTCCCCCCCCCCCATTTCATTCAAAATACCTTCCATAACTGAAAACATCAAACTTCAGCAGAAATTCAAAGCTGGAAATAATTTGACCTGAAGAGGATTAAACATCATTAAACTTCTCAGAGGCCACACTGGTGGTAGCTTGCCTACACATTTTTCTAAATTAGTTGCTAACACATGAAAATCTGTTTTGCTGGGTGGCTTTATCTCGCTGGGAGAGGTGACCTCCTAGGGCGTGAATCTAGGTGGTAAGCTCCCATGGGGCATGCTGGTTAGGGCCCGTCCTGGCCAGCCTTGCAGGAGGGCATTCTACCAGCTGCCCGCATGCCTGCACCCTCTTTTCTCCTGCTCAGAAGAGACGGAGCCGCTCGTAGCCTGGAGTCCTGTCTGCTCTCGACTACAGCCTGGGCTGTCTGTCACCTGGGGGTTGTGAGATTTGGGTCCTTCTGTGTGTGCCGGAACTCGTTAGTGACACCATTTCCAAGTGAAACCTTGTCACGATCGGTCATACCGGTGACATTCTTTGTGACATTTGTGAAACGCTGGCTTTAAATGCCTTTCCATATATGCACGGCCACGTGTAGTTTAATGACGTAGGCCGCCAGACCAGTATCCTCTTAAAAACCATCTTACTGAGATATAATTTGCACATAATAAAGTTGAGTCGCTTAACATACACGGTCTCGTGCTTTTTAGTAAATTCACAGAGTTGCATAGCCATCACTTCCAGCTAGTCTTAAGGGATTTTTTTTCTCCCCCAAAAGCAACCTGTGCCCATTAGTTGTCAACCGCCTTTCCCCCTCATCCCCAGACCTCAGCAACTACTTGCCTGTTCTGTGCCTGTGAACTTAACCGTTCTTGACCGTGTGTGTGTGTGTGTGTGTGTGTGTGTGTGTGTGTGTATTCTCTCTGGATCAACGTCTCTGCCTTGGCAGACCATTTCTGACGCTTTTCCATGTTGTCCCATGTATCCGTGTTTCACTAAATTATAGCATCGTGTGTGCATACACTGTATTCCATTTACCACTCATCGGCCGGGGCGCATGTGGGTGGTTCCCACTTTTTAGGTGTCAGGGAAATGATCATCTGACATTCCCGGCAGGCAGTGTCTGAAAGTCCCGTCCCCGTCCCACACTGGTCCTCATGGTTCCAGCCGTCCTCGCTGTGGGGCAGTGGGGTCTCACCGTGGTCCTCACCTTCATTCCCTGAGCATCTTTCTGTGTAGCCCTGTGGCCACCGTCTCTGCAGAAACGCTTCTGTTTCTTCCTGCTCTTTGGTCCTCACTGAGCTGGTCGCCACCCAGCAGTGCGAGTGCGTTCTGGTTGATTTGCAGCCTCGCTGGCAGTGACCACAGTGAAACAGTGCCTGCTCTTCCCACCTCTCCCTGCGTTTCCTGTTCCCGTCCACCCCGCCCTCCTCCGGCTTCCTGCTCGCCGAGCTGTACCCCTGGGCCGAGAACTAACCAACAGCCTTTCCTTTCCAGTCTCCAGTGGCCACTTCCTCGGCCTCCTGGGCATGACTGTTCACTCTGCCCCTCTTTGACTTGGGCGGCCAGACTTTGTGCTGATTGCTGATGTGTGAGGATGCTCTCAGGAGCCCGGTGGCGCAGTGGGAGGTGCATGGGAAGGTCCGTGTTTCAGACCCACCTGTGCCTGAGCCCGCAGGAGGGAAGATGCGGCCATCTGCTGCCATCGGGATTTGGGTCTCAGGAACCCCCACAGGGCCTTCCACACTGGCAGATGGGGCTGCTCTGAGTCCAGGACCCTGTGTGAGGGACCCTGCCATGCAGGAGGCCTCTGTCCTCAGGTGGAGGTCCAGAGTCAGCACGTGGTCTGCAGAGACCCCCGTTCTCTGGTCACCCCTCCCCCGGTGAGCGGCACGTCTGTCTGCAGCCCCATAGGCTGCACGTTTGAGACGCGCCCTTCGCAGCCTGTGCGTTCAGTGCCCCGGCCAAGGGGCTGTGGTCGTGAGGAGGCACCAGCACGCGCTCAGGGGTGTTTAGTTCTACTCCCTAACACGCAAGTCCATCCCCTAGGCTGGCCTCCCCGCTTCGTATTCGTCTGGTGAGCTGCTCTGTGCGTGTCAGACTCTGACTCACTTCATTGCGCGTGCACTAAACAGTCGGGGGATTGAGTGCCTGCGTGAACCGGTGAGCAAATGAACCGATAAGAGATCCCGCACTACCTTGGTTCTGCCCGCCCAGCTTTTAGATGTGAGTGTGTTTCTTCATTGCTCAGGCGTTCTGTTGTATGTATGTGGACGTGAACGTACCACAAAGCAGTTCTTATTTTATAGACATAGTTGTGTGTGTGCATATATATACTATGTATGTATATGTGTGCATGCATGTGTATATATGCACATGTACACACACAAGGACTGTGTGTAAGTAGATGTGGTCCATGTGTCTGCCACCACGATGTCCTGAGTTAAAAAGCAGCTTATCTCTGTGGTCTCTTTAAAGAGTCCTCCATGCAAGATTAAATTGGTCACAGGAAGTCAGAAGGCTGAAGCCGCTCAGAGAGTGTAAAATACAGTGAAGGACAGCAGGAACCGCGGCAGGCGGGTTCCGAGACTCCCACTCCTGAGGGGAGTAGAAAGCTCCTCTTTTGCATGTATGATACATACATGGTATGATGTATGTATGTGACACGCACTGAAGCATCAAAGGGGCTGCACTAGGTGCTGGTGAGTGCTGCTGAACACGTCCGGGACTGTGAAAGGACAAGCTGATCAGTCTGGGAAGAGTTAGGGTCAGAATGCCACTGACAGACAAGGAGGAGGAGCTGACACCAAGGGCTCAAATGGAAAGAAAATGCTTTGAGAATGATGATGATGGCAGCACACGTACAAACGTGCTTGACACGACGGATGGATGGATGGATGGACTGTGATGGGAGAGGTAAGCGCCCCAATGAAATGATTTAATTAAAAAAAGAGGCAAGGATGGCAAGACCTCCCCTCACTGCTTTGGACATGTCGTCAGGGGAGACCCGTCCCTGGAGAAGGACATCGTGCTCGGCAAAGTGGAGGGACAGGGCAAATGAGGGTGGCCCTTGATGAGGACACTGCGACTGACACAGCGGGCGCAGGGACAGGTGCGAGGACGGTGCAGGACCGGCGTTCCCTCTGGCTGTGTGTGGGTCACACAGTGAGTCTGCACGGGCTCGCGGCCCGAACAGCAGCAGCAGGAAAAGGCTGACTGAGGTCTTCAGAGTGGCTTCTTCCTGTCCTCTGCGGCAGCTCTTGACACAGGCAGCTAATACCGAGTGGAATCTACAGCTCTGACGTGCTCGGGAGAGCCATGTTGTAGAGATGAAGACCAGGGAACGAGGAGCAGTAAATCTCTGTCCACTCGCAGTCTGCAGCATCGGGCATCTCAGAGCACGAGGAGATTGCTCCGTGTGCCGTGGGATCGGGAAATGCCTGATCGGGATGAGGAACACACGCAGAAAGCAGCACCCAGGGATCCCAGCTTTTAAAAGCGAGTGGCGGACAGAGTGGACGTTGATTCATGTGCAGAAAATGAAGTTTCAGAGTGTATACCATATGGTTCCTTGTGGTTCTTTCTCAGCCGTGAGATTACTTTTGTCATGTTTTTTCCCCTTTAAAAATGACATTTTCTCTTAAACTTCTTTGGTGAATATATGAATGGCCAAAGACACCCACTTCAACAATTCTTACATGCACAGTTCTGTGACGCCACCGGCATTCTCCGCGCCGGAGCCCTGTCTGCTGACCTCAAGGCCAGCGGTTTGAAACCACCAGCTGCTCTGAGGGAGGACGATGAGGCTGTCTGCTCCGGAAGAGCGACCGCCGTGTCGGAAACCCACGGGGCGGTGGGGTTGCTGGGTTAGCCTGCTCTTGATGCAGTGAGGACAAGTGACTAAATAGATCTCCAGCTCTAAGAGTAGTAAGGGTTTTATAACTATCATCACCACTTATCCTCTGATTCTAAAGGAAAAGGTGGTTTTAGTTTTCGCATGTAGCTCTTTGGTCCATTTTTGAGTTGGTTTTTGTGTGTGGTGTGAGGTGTGGGTCTATCCTGCATTCATCTGACACAGCATCGTTTGTTGAACAAGCCGGTTTTCTCATTCGGGGGACAACTGGACCACAAGTGACTGTGCCTAACTCTGGCCTCTCAGGTCTCCCCAGTGGTCCATGTGTCTGCCACCACGATGTCCTGAGTCAAAAAGCAGCTTATCTCTGTGGTCTCTTTACAGAGTCCTCCATGTGAGATTAAATTGGCCACAGGAAGTCGGAAGGCTGAAGCCGCCCAGAGAGTGTAAAATACAGTGAAGGACAGCAGGAACCGCGGCAGGGGGAGCTGCCGTGCGGGTTCCGAGACTCCCACTCCTGAGGGGAGTAGAAAGCTCCTCTTTTCCCCAGAGGTTATTAGAATAGTTTATTGTCTTAAAGGCAGCTTTCCCTTAAGATTAAGCTTTTCACATCGCCAAGAAAGGGTCTTTTAAGAGGCGTGTTGGATACTTGGCTTATTTTCATATGTCTGAGATAAAGGCTACTTTACTCATTTGAACCTCGGCCTTGTTTTGTCCGATGTCGTTGGTTGGCGCCGTGGAGTTTGCTCTCTGACTCAGAGAGAGACCCCTTGTGCCCAAGGGGGGCTGCCTCCGAGGGCCCTTGTGGCTGTTGTCGTGGGGGCTCCCCTGGGCGGTCCCTTGACGTCTGTGCTGGCGTGTCTTACCTGGGCACCCCCCTTCCTTGCCCACAGCTCCGGAACGGCAGGAGCCCATTGGACCTCATTGCCCCCGGCTCCAGGCTCGAGTGCCAGGCTTTCCAGGACACAGTCGGCACATGGCCCGTCACCGTGGTGGAGAACATTGGGGGCCGGCTGTGGCTGCGCTACGCGGGCCTGGACGGCCTGGAGGGTTCTGAGCACTGGCTGTACTACTTGGACCCATTCCTCCACCACATCGGCTGGGCCGCTCAGCAGGGCTACGAGCTCCAGCCCCCCTTAGGTGAGGAGCAAGATGCTGCTTCGCTTTCCCTTGCTGTGTCAGCGCTGGTGCGCAAGGCTGGGAGACCACTCCCCTTCCTCCTGCTTCTCAGGATCGACACTGTTAAAAACAGTGACCCGGCTGGGCTGCCTTGCTAAACCTCTGTTTCCCTGGTTGTTTTATTGCTGTTTAAATTCGCCACACATTGATGCTACCTGGCAGACTGGGCCCCTGCTCTGGGGGAGATGGAGGAGGCTTTCTCTCACAGGGGTTCAGACAGGAGTAGCAGTAGGACAGATTGTGGGCTCACAATGGACTGCTGATGGAAAGACGCCCCAAACAGAGTCACGAGAGTGACGGTTTGCACTGTCACCACATGCCTCTGCTGGACTGTGCTCTGCGGTTCTGCCGACTGCCGCGGCCTCTCTGAGGCACCTTCACCCACTTGCTCTCTGGGCTCTGAGAGGCGCAGGTGCGGGCTTTGGGTCAAGATAAGCCTGCATGGGCCCCCGCCCCCCAGTGGAAAGTGACTCCTCTTTTAGCTGGTGGGGCGCTTCGCAGAGCAGTCGAGGAGTGTGGGTGCTCTGTCCTCTAAAGCAGGGGTGGGGCCGCCTTTTCTGCCAAGGGCCTTTTGGACATTTATAGCATCTTTCATGG